ATGAATAATTTAACATTTATTTATTTTATTTTTGTTTATTTTAATTTTTATTATAATTTCACTTACTTTTATAATATATTTATATATGCATATTTATATTGTCTATAATATTATACTTATATACATAAACAAATACCTGAAAACTATATAAATTAGATTGGAGAATTGGACTTTATATCCACTATGGTACTCGGGCACTATTCAATCTTAAATATTTTATAATTTAAATAAAATGTTCAAAAATATTTTAGAAATAAATACAAATTTCATTGAAAAAAAATCATGGATTAGAAAAAAAGCACCTACTTTAATAAATTGTTTGAGAACAAATGATAAGGGATTATGGCCTATCCATTCTTTATTATTTATGTAAACAACAGTCAATAAATGTTTTAAAATTTAAAGTTTGAAAATGTATTTTACCTATTATTGAAGGTAACAAATTTACTTTATTATTTGACATTTGTTAAATAATTTATAAATTATTACTGTCTAATTAATTTAAAATGTTGTTAATGATCTATATTGAATAACTACATATTATTTTTATAATTTATAATAATAATATATAAACATATAAATTAAACAAGTGTATTATAATACAATTCTGTAGATACTATTTTATTATCAATAAATTATATTATTATATTATTATTTGTTAATAATACTTAAGTATATTTAAAGGAACAGTTTCTTAACTAGGTAGTATAGATTGTAGCAGGTGTATAGGTATTTTGACAAATTAAAATAATATTACATGCTTAATATAAAAGCATAAATACCTTTACATGTTGTAAAATAAAATAGTTTTATGAAGCTTTTTTCTTTTCTAGTCACCTTCATTATTGAAGAAGTTAATATTTTGCTATAAGAGTGTATTCTTATATTTAAATATGTGTGTGCAATTAGGTTGATTAATTTAATTGTGTGAGGTCTTGCATGTCTGTTAGATAGTATAGACTATAGAGTATAGACAGGTCTGTACAGGAGTTAACATATATTAGGTACAGTGGTTAAACTCCACAACTATTTTCTATAAAAAAAAGTGTAAACAAATAACAAGTAATAATAGTTTTATTGTATAAATAATATATATATTATATAATTTTATATAGGTAATTAATAATAATATACCTTTTATATAAAATGTTAAAGAACAACAGACTAGTTTTAACAATTAATTCTTTCATTGTTTAAAATTTTAAATCATACATCTAAAGAATTTATATTACATAAATATTTTATTCAAAAAAACGTATTTTTAAAAATATACAATCATAACTTATTGTGACAAAATTACAAAAATCAATATCAATGACATAAAAAAATAAAATACATTTAAAATATTTTAAACAAGAATTCAAATTTTGGTGGGATTTCGGCATGCATTTAACCCACTATAAATGGCGGATAATAACTTCACATAATATCACTAATTAGCAATCTAGTTTATTATCTATATCTGTAATAATCAAAGACAGGAGCACCGCTTATCACTGGCCCATCGTCTTTTGTTTTCAAAGTTGTTGTACGTCGTGCAGAATATTTTTTTTAATTTTAGCGTGTTGACTAATTAATACATAATTACTTTGCGATATTTAAACTCTTTTTTTATTGATACAAAATATAGTATCACATAAAATTAGTTTAAACATTTTATTTTTATTGATTCCATTCATATACATACATTGTACAGTGCTTGGTGATGTTACCGTAAACACACGACGTATGTATTCTGAAAGCATACTATACTTTTAAAAATGTTATAACAAGAGATCCAACTACCTAACTATTTTATAGACGAATAGATTAAATACTACGTCATCTATAAAAAAACTTCAAAACACGAGCATCAGAATACATGTGTCGTATTCATTCCAAGACCAAGTGATCAATGCTGACAAAGTCCATCGGTTCAGTTTTTCATTATTTATTAACACTACATTTAAAAAATGCATAAGTGTGTAGTGTGCGGTAATTCTACTACGTGGACTAGGGACACTCGTCCTGAAGTTCTTTATCATGGGTAACTATCTATTGTTTCTAGAAATTTGTTCGCTCATACTGATGTGAAACAAAATATATCTAGAGTTTAATGCCATATGATAGAAATGATTCATGGACAATTTTAAACTGGTTTACTTAGTGGATTTCTATGTTTTGTTCATTTTTTACTACTTGAATATATTAGTTGTTATTGTAATGATTGATGTTTGCTTTGATATAGTTTTCCTAAAAATGAACAATTAAGAAGAATATGGCTTAAAGTTTTGGGATTCGATCATTGTTATGATTGGCAACGGATATGTAGTGATCATTTTTTAGATGAAAACTATAGACCTGGAAAGAAGCGATATTTATTACCAAATACTATTCCCCAACCTTATGATAAAAATTGTGATGCAAATGATGTTCTTTCTAAGTAATGACTTTTGATCTTTATAGTTAAATTGGTACTTTTCTGTTATTCATACTACCGTGAGTTTCAATTCTGTTATTTTGACTACCCCACTGATGATGTGACTAATGTCAGTTCACACGATTATCTGTTAGTATGGATCTTTGGAATTTATTGAACAGTGAAAAAGATTTCTTGAATTTTTTTTAAGAAGAGGGCTTACTTCCAAAACACCATGAATGCAAAAATGGTCATAAAAAAAAAACTACATTTTCAAAAATGTAATTTTTTGGAAATACAATGTCTTGACATGTCAATATTAAACCAATATTCATGACTTGTATTATTTATTAAAAGACGGAACTATATAGTCTGGCAGGTAGTATCGGGGAAATATAATAATTGAGATAACAGAATTGTTTAGTCACGGCATCGAGAGGTAGTAGGGATAACACAAAAGTACCGTTAAATTTTTCATTTTCAATAATATTTTTATTTTTATATAGTTATATTATCCAAAATAACAATACAAAAACTGATATTAATGAACTCGTACTAATGGAACAGAGTCTTTTAAGGTGAGTTAATGAAAATTTTATTAAACTAGATTTTGTTATTACAATTATTGAAAAATCTAGAAAATTGACATATTCTGATGAAAATTATTAGATAGAATATGCATTTTATAGAGAGGAAAATATTAAAATTGCTTTTATAAATAATAATAAATTACCAAGAAGGTCATATGGAAAAATTAAACTTACTACAACTAATGAAAGTATGCCAAGGCTCCAAACTGAACGATATGGTGGACAAATTCTTACATTTATTGATGGTGACAATATTCAAACAGTCATTGAAAGAAATATTGTACCAGTATTAACAACTACTAAGGTAAAAATACTATAAAAGAGTCTTTAATCTTTTTAAATTCAGATGTCTTTTGAGTCGCTAAAATGTATTAAAAAATATTTTGAAGGGCACCATAGTTTATTTGTAAATTATTGTTTAAGTACAAATAAGTTGATGTTATTTTAAATTGGTGTCTTAAGGTTTATTGATAATAATTAATTAACTAATATAAAATTGTAATTAACATATAATTTATAATATTAATTAGGAGGGGGGAGGAGATTAAATTTTTTTTCACAAATATCTGAAAATTGTTTTGTTATTTATAAGTTTCGTGGATAAAGGCACAATCTAAATATACCACTGGTTGTTATACATCTCAGTTTTGCCAAAAGTGTATCAATTTTGAATTTACTGTCCTGATAGTGTTTTGAAGCGGCAAATTCTCTCAGTATTGAATTTTTATGATTTATTGTAAATAGTAAAAAAAAAAAATAACGTAGTTTTGATAAATTATATAATAAATTGATAGTCAAGATGTATTTAAAACTTATTTTTAATTTATAAACCATAAATTGTAAAAAAAAAAAAAATAGTAATAGCACAATATTTGCTGAAAAATTTTATAATTAATAATTTAAAAAAAAAAAATATTTTTTGGATTGATAATTATTATTATTCATTATTTTTCTGTTTGACACAAAAATGTTTGTAATTGCTAATCTATATTTTTTTTGGTTACTTCCTCATCAATTTGGTACAATTTTTAACATTGAATTTAAATGTTAGTTTTACTTTATAAATGTAAGCATGTAGTTGATTACTGGTAGTTGTAGAATTTTTTCCTTAAAAAAAAACTTATGGAAAACCTGTATCCTGTAAAATAAGATAGATTAAGAACTTCATTTCAGAAATATTTTAAATACAGTAATTCTTTTTCAAATAAAAATACATTTTGACCCAACCTCTAAGTAAATGTTCATAATTAAATTTATTAGTGTCATGTATTGATATTTGATGATATTTTGTTTAGGCTCATTTAATCATTAATGTATCTAATTTAATACCTAATATATAGACTCTGAATTTTATATTCAGTTATAAATTTTCTCTAATATAAACATTTATTTTTATAAATGGTTATATTATGTTTTAATTTTAAAGGACTTCACTTTGGGAAATGGATTACGATGTTCCGTTAAAAATTGCTTCAACAGACATTCAGAACATCTTAGTCTCTTTGGATTTCCAAGTGATTTTACTTTAAGAAAAAAGTGGATAGAAAATTGTGGATTAAATTTTGATCCTACTAAAAATAGTGTAAGAGTATGTAGTGTTCATTTTGAAAATGATTGCTTCACAAATTCAAAAAAAAGGAACAGATTGAGACCTAAAGCTGTTCCGACATTATTTTTAGATAATGGTAAGAAAAAAATTAATAATGTTTATTTTATTTTGTATTATGTTTTTAAATTATTAATTAGCATTCTATTAATATAGTTTAGGTATGTATAAGGTTTTATTTTAAATTAGGTAATCTTTAAACTATTTCTTTTAAAAACAAAAATGAACAATATAATAAATGTTTTATCCCGAGGTTTTATCCTTCAATAAAAAAAACAAATATTTTATTAATAAATTAGAACAAAACAAGCCCATGTGTTAAAAACATCAGTTCATGACCACAAAACCGTTTAATTAACATTAATATATATATTTTTAATAGTGTTAAATGACAATTGACAATCTGTAATTTATTAACTATTAATTATTAAATATGAAGAATGTATACTGTATTTTTAATTATTTTTTTTACGTAAATGTAAAATATTATACTTCTTTTGCGGGCCAGTAGTTTGACCACCACTGCTGAAGGAGATAGAGAAGATCTTGTTGCAGTTTTTAATAAGTTGTAGTAAGAAATTAATCTTTCAACATTTGCCGAATGTGGTTTAGCAGATAGAATGCGAGCCCATGAAAAAATATAAAATTAATAGTAATTTCTATACACATTAATTAGTAAAAAATTAAAATTAAAAATAGTAATATATTAAAATTATTTACCACAGCAGTACTAAGAGATTTCCATGAATCATTAGATAATAACGATTTTAGACAATTGTTTATCTTTTATACATAGTATCCCAGCAGATTTTTTATAAGACGCAATAAAATCACCCAATTCAAAATCAGGACAGATTACTAGATGTGCTTCTTTAAGTTCTTCATCACTTACTTTTTCTAAAACTTTCAATGGAAGCCATTCAGATGAATAAAGACGAATTGTTGAGGTAATTAACAATAATACGAGTATGTTAAATTGCATAATTTTGTATTTGCAAGAACAAATGTTTATCTGATACCTACATATAAATTATGTTTCTTTTTTCTTGATTGTTGACTTTTATTAAATAATTCAATGTTATGAAGTTTAATGATATTTTTTTCAATTTCTGGATTATGAGTTACAATTATGTTTTTCTTGAACACATACTCCCATCCACCCAATAACAGACTTACTTTTAAATTTTCAATCATTTGGACAATTGTGTTTTTTTCTTATTTCTATATCAAATATTAATACATCATCCGTTTGAATTTTCTTTTGAAATCTACTATAAAAATAACCAAGGTTTGTTAAAAAGCAAAGCAACATCATCTTGTCATAATCTGTCAATATTTTATAAAATCCTTCTGATCTAACATCATTATCTTCGAATTTCTTTAAAAAAAAAAATATTTATTTAAAATACGCCAATTTTTTAGAATTCCTAGAAGTAAGTTGTATGTAAATTCAGTCCACCTCACTTCAAAATATTTTGGCTACTGTGAAAATTCATACCTTCATTATTTGCTATATCTTTTAATTCTTTGGTTCTGAAACCAGATTGATGGAAGTATGAAGATATAGCCTAAACATGCAACAATAAGTTTATGCACTTCAATTACATTAGATGTCAGTTGTCCCCATGCTAAGGCACTTTTATGCACAGCACACCACATTTTTAGTAATGGTCCTTGAATATTATTTGAATATCTATTTGAATCTAATAATGCCCATCAATTTTTTTGTCCAATATTAACACTTGCACCATCCGTTGCAGTTGAAGACAAATTGGATAAAAAAATCTTCAAATTGCATTAAATCTTGTATTAAAGATTTAACTACTTCATAATATCCAATCACTCCTTTTTGAATAGGCTCTTTAAAACCTATAAATACTAGTTCAGAATCTCCATTTGTTGTGATTATTTTAGCCAATACATGAATGTTGTCAATCTGTGTTCTATCAACAGAACCATCAACTCTGAGAGATATAGCTAGTGCTGTCTTCAGCTTATTCATTAATAAAGGTTTGTCTGTTTCAACTATTGAGTTAATTAATTAATTATGTGTAGTTGAATTAATGCATTGTAAATCATCTTCTTTAATATCAATTTTTTTAAGGGGTTCTAAAAAATTTAATTGACTTTTTTTAATTTGCACAACTTCTCTTGATGGCCAAGACCAAGCACTGAGAGTACCTCTTTTAGCTTCATTAAATACTATTCAATCATACATTTTCAATTTTTAGAGCTAATGTTTCATTATGTTTTAAAACAAGTTTATTTTAAAGGTGCATTAATATTAACTTCTGATACTGATAAATTTTTCACATTTTCTACTTTTATACATTCTTTATGTTMAATAGAAGCTAAATGATTAATTAAAATTTCATCTCTTGGAATTGTACCTAACTCAGTACAAATAGGTGGCAAATGATTTTTTTGTTTGGTATGCAATAAAACAGTAGATTTATGTTACATGAATGGAATATCTAATCATGGTATGACCTTTTTCATTTTTTACTTTTTCATAACAAGGATCCCATTTAATTTTGTTTCTAATTATTATTAGGTATTTCAGTACTACTAATTACAGAAACATTTCTTTTCACTTCTTCTATTTGAGTAACATTAACTGTTGAAAAGTTAAAATAATTAAACTACCTATGTTAAAATAAATTTAAAATAATAAAAAGTTGATTGGTAATTCAAATTAAAAATTGTTACTAAATAGTAAATATTTACATTTAACAATAATAATATAGTTATTGTACTTATAAATAATACAATACGAATTTATACATAAACCGTAGGTAAAAAAAATTTTTTATTTGAATACCTATCTACTCGTATCCTGTTAATTTGCTTAATCAAGTTTGTTCATACTTATTTAACCAAAATATAATAATAAAAAAATATAATAGGTAATCATAGGCTTATACTGAAGTTTATATTTTATCATCATATGAAATGCAAATCAAAATAATTATGAAAAATTTATTGTATTATTTATATACACATTTATACATATTTATTATTTTCCAAGTAGCATTGACGTTTACTTAAAAAATAATAAAAATCAAACTTTCAATATCATATTACGTATTATTGTATTATTGTTATTTTATATTTTATAGTATAATACCACTAATACCTATCATCAATTTATAATATTTATTATTTTGTATGATTCAAAGTTAAATACAAATAATAATAAATTTTAAAAATACTGATGATAATACTCAATATAATATGTATATTATAAAAATTAAAAATGAATAATAATTACTTTTGTTTGGAAATTTAGTACATTTCTCAATATTTCCATCATCCTCCGCTGTTCGTTTTCTAATAATAAAATGATCCATAGTAGTAGGTATAGCACTGTAGTAGTGTAGACGTGTAGTACTATATTCATTAATAAATAAATAAATATTTCTCGATTATAGTACCTGCTATCTAGTTTTCTAATTTAATAGTAAAATAAAGGAAAAACTAAAAAGGCGAAGACGTGAAGTTAGGTACTATAAACATAAAAAAGCGGGTAAGTGGGTATCGTTCTGCTGWACATTGGGGGTGGGGTGGACCTCTGACGAAGGTAGGTTAAATTTGAATGCAATAATAGGTATCATTGTATACGAAAAACGATTCTGAACGGAGACGGTTTATCTGTCTAGGATATATTATAGATTATTAAAAATTTTAAAATCTTAGATTTAAAAAGA